TTACTGATTGGGACATTTTGACTTTGTGTGAATTTGGTTAGAGGGTGATGCATGCATAGCAAGAGGCAATTATCCTTTCAACTTACCAGGTCTCACTCCTTTTGGTGTTCATTGGATTCCCTCAGTTTTTGTTTGTTAAGTTGATTTGTCTTTTCCAAATCAATTTACAAGATTTGATAAAATAGAGAATGGAAACGGGGAATGTGTCAAAGAGACAACAACCCGATAAAGAGCAGAAAACAGCCAAAGGCCACCCATGGGTCTTCAACACAGCAAGAAAATCCCGCACCCAGAGGTGGGCTTCAGCTGGCCCTTAAAAAATGTATAATAGTTCAGTGAAAATGGGGGGCCTCGGTGGCCAAGTGGTCTAGGAAGTTCTACTACTGTAATCACTAGCCAGTCAACACTGAGGTTGTAAGTTCGAACCCCGCTCGTGCGGGTGCACTCGACTCCAATCTTAATTGACTAGGATTGTCAGTTTTCCTATCGAAGGTCTGTGGTTTTCTCCGGGCACTCCGGCTTCCTCCACCAATAAAAACTGGCCTGCCACGAAATAGCCCAAAAGTGGCGCTTAAAAGTGGCGTTAAAACACCAACAATCAATCAATCAGTGAAAATGGACGTCACACTAAACTCCCAAACATAAATGAACTAAAATAAAATAAATGGGGAATGTGCATGGGACACAGATGATGCCCCCGCTTGCATATCATATAAAGTTATAAAGGGACATAACTGAAGAATGGTAAAAGTGACGCTTCCCAAATTTGTACATGATCTGAGTTTTGTAGTAATAAGTATTGTGTATAAGTTTCATAACATTTGGTTGAGGCCAACTTAAGTTAGAGAACAGAAACAAAAAAAATTCAGCAATTTTTCCATTTGTAAAGGGCATAACTCTAGAACGGTTAAAGTGACACCACCAAAATTCAAACTTGATCTGTGTTTTGTGGTAATAAGCATTGTGTATAAGTTTCATAACATTTGGGCAAACTAAAGTTAGAGAATGGAAACCAACTTTGGGACGTACGGACAAATGTAAAACTTAATGCCCCCTCTGCTACGGCTGGAGCATAAAAAAACATACAAGACTCAAAAAAGCCTGAGGTTCCCGACTTGGGACAGGCGCAAAAATGTGGTGGGGTTAAACATGTTTTGTGAGATCTCAAACCCCCCCCCCCCACCTATACATCTAGCCAATGTGGAATAAAAAAAGCACACAGCAATATGCACAGTAAAACTCAATTTAAAACAAGTCAGACTTACATCGGTTAACTACTGTTACCTTAATTTGAAAGCAGAATTTAAGCTTGAAACCACAAATCAGCAAATGACCTATCCAACATTTTTATTCAGTGAACAGATATAAATATTCAATCGAAAATATACAAAGACATTAATATGAACAATTAATCAAATAAAAATATATATTTTATGTACATTAAATAAGTCATTACAGTATTTCACTTGACAAAAAACTATTTTTTGCATGCAGTCGTTGAACCATGAAAATGAGTTCAAGGACAATGAACATATGGCAGACCAAGTTCGACTTGAATATATTCTGTTAGGAAAATAACAAGAGGCTCATGAGAGCCTGATAACGCTCACCTGTAATTTCAGTTTCAGGCATTTGACTTTTTTGTAGATCTTACTTTGCTGAACAATTTTGTCATTTACACTTTCTCTCTTTCTATAATAATATTAAAGATAATACATAACCAAAAACTGTAAAATGTCCTAAAAATTAACTATTTCTGGACAGTAACCCAACAAGAAGTTGTCCTTTTGGTCTGAAGATTACTTGACAGGTAGATCTAAACCTGTTTAACACTTTCACCTATGTCAGTTTTGCTCTTACTGCTTTAGTTTTTGAGATGAAAACCAAAAACTTCATTTGACCCCTATGTTCTATTTTTAAAAAACTGCCGTCATGTTTTTGAATGGATCAAATCCCTGAATAAAATCTATAAACTAGATACCCTAAGGAACATTCAATTAAAGTTTTTAAGTATTTGGCCAAGTAGTTTCAGAGAAGAAGATTTTTGAAAAAATAATTCGACTTTCACAAAAAATGTAAAAAAAAAAAAACGTTTTAAGGGCAATTACTTCAGAGAAGAAGATTTTTTAAAAAGTAATAGACTTGCACGAAAAAATGTAAAAAATATATGTTTCAAGGGCAATAACTCCGTAAGGAGTCAATTGACTATTTTCATCATTTGAATTATTTGTAGATCCTACTTAGCTGAACATTTTTGCCATTTACACTTTCTTTCTATCTATTATAATATTAAAGATAACCAAAAACAGTAAAATTCCATAAAAATAAACTATTTCGAACAGTAACCCTACAATGGGTGGTCCAATTGGTCTGAAAATTTCATAGCAGATAGATCTTGACTTATTCATCACTTTAACTCCTGTCACTTTTGCTCTAACTGCTATAGTTTTTGAGATAAAAGCCAAAAACTGCATTTGACCGCTATGTTCTATTCTTAGCCATGGTGGTCATGTTTGTTAATGGATCAAAACTTCAGATACATTTTATAAACCAGTTACCCTAAGGAAAATTCATTTAAAGTTTAGAAGTATTAGGCCCAGTAGTTTCAGAGGAGAAGATTTTTAAATGTTAGCAAACATGATGAACAAATTGTGTAAAATTGTCTTTAAAGGGCAATAACTCCTTTAGGGGTCAATTGACAATTTTGGTCATATTGACTTTTTTGTAGATCTTACTTTGTTGAACATTTTGCTATTTACAGTTTATCTTTATCTTCAAAAATATTCAAGATAATAACCAAAAACTGCAAAATTTCCTTAAAATTACCAATTTAGTGGCAGCAACCCAACAATAGGTTGTTTGGTTCTTCTGAAAATTTCAGGGCTGATAGATCTATACCTATTCAACATTTTTAAACCCTGTCAGATTTGCTCTAAATGCTTTAGTTTTTGAGATACAAGCCAAAAACTGCATTTGACCCCTATGTTCTATTTTTAGCCATGGTGGCCATGTTTGTTGATGAATCAAAACTTCAGATACAATTTATAAACTAAATACCATAAGGAACATTCAGTTAAAGTTTGAAGGTATTTGGCCCAGTAGTTTCAGAGGAGAAGATTCTTGAAATAGTTTACAAAGACGACGGACTCCAAATGATGGCATAAGCTCACATGGGGCCCTTTGGGCCCGGTGAGCTAAAATGCATTACACTTGTTTAAGAAATGAATAAGTAAAAAGTGACAAACATGACAAAGGTAAACATCTATAAGAACTCTATAAAGTAAAAAAAATAAGACATCTAGTTATCAATACAACATGCCAAGAAATACCAGTGGCGGATCCAGAAATTTTCATAAGAGGGGGCCCACTGACTGCTTAAGAGGGGGCCCGCTCCAGTCATGCTTCAGTGATTCCCTATATAATCAACCAAATTTTTCCCACAAAAGGGGGGGTCCGGGCCCCCTGAAAAACCCTCTAAATCCGCCTCTGAATACATAATCCTGAACTAGTACAATTTGTTCAGGAATCCAACTTACAAATGTTAATTACTGGTTTGTGTTTTTGTTAGTTGTTTTTCTGCTTTGTATCGATCTGATGAGTAAAGCCCTTTTTAGCTGATTTTTATAGTTTGTTCTTATGATGTACTGTTACACCACTGTCCTGGGTTAGGGGGAGGGTTTGATGCCAGCAAAAATGTTTAACCCCACCACATTCTGTATGTGCCTGTCCCAAGTCATGAGCCTGTAACTCAGTGGTTGTCATTTGTTGCTGTATATCATATTTGTTTTTCATTTATTGTTTTGTACATAAATCATGCAGCTAGTTTTCTCGTTTGTCCTTTGGGGCCTTTTATAGCTTACTATGTGGTATGGGTTTTGCTCATTGTTGAAGGCCGTACAGTGACTTACAGTTGTCTACTTGTACTTCATTTGGTCTCTAGTTGAAGAGTTGTCTCATTGGCAATCATACCACTGTGGGACATCTTCTTATTTTCATATTAACAGTAATCTGCTATCTAAATGATTTATCTTTGCAAGTTTCTGTTCAATTCAAGACGAGAAAAAAAAACAAAGAATTATCTGCCACTGCCATTTTTTAAATTAAAATTATGAGACAATTGCCTGATAATTATATAAAGATTCTGGCTTGAAAACTGTAGGAGGAATTAGTCTGACAAACCATGTAGCCTGCATGTATAATATCATCCCAAAATGACAAAGGTCAAGATCATATCATTTTAGTGAAATTTAAAAAGAAGCAAAATCCTGATAAAAAATGAAAACAACACTTTATACATTCATTAAATGCACACATATACTATAGTATATGTACTTACCACATGCTGTATTTGAAAGTTCTAGCGGAGTTCACTTGATAAGTAATGTATTCTTTGTAAGCAGGATGGATGGACAGAGAGGGATAAGGGTAAAAGTTCTAGCCGAGTTCACAAGATAAGTAATGTACTCTTTGTTGGCAGGATAGATGGACAGAGAGGGATAAGGGTAAAATTCTAGCCGAGTTCACAAGATAAGTAATGTACTCTTTGTTGGCAGGATAGATGGACAGAGAGGGATAAGGGTAAAAGTTCTAGCGGAGTTCACAAGATAAGTAATGTACTCTTTGTTGGCAGGATAGATGGACAGAGAGGGATAAAGGTAAAAGTTCTAGCAGAGTTCACAAGATAAGTAATGTACTCTTTGTAGGCAGGATAGATGGACAGAGAGGGATAAGGGTAAAAGTTCTAGCGGAGTTCACAAGATAAGTAATGTACTCTTTGTAGGCAGGATAGATGGACAGAGAGGGATAACATGGATAAGGGTAAACAATATTTCCCATACAATGTTTTTGCTATTTCCTTAAATTAAATTATAAGACAAGTGCCTGACAAATTTTATTCTAAATTTTTCCCCTATTTTAGCATTGTTTAAATTTAAAGAATATTCAGTGGCAGATGGATCGTCATTCCCAAAACGCCGGGCTAAAAATAATAAAATGTACTTAAAAAAATTTTTTTTTAATGTTTGGCCATACAAGGGAGTAAGTGGGGTATGGGACATGGGAAAAAAATCAAAAAATATACAGTATAATGAAGGTAACTATACCTCCATTAAGGCATGTAAGGTGTAATCATATACTACATGAGAAAAAATTGTTATCATGATAAATCATTGACATGATCATGATTATTGACTGCAATTACAGCATTTTAACCATTAAATTATTTACAACAATTTGTGGCATTAAATATCATTATCTACAGATTTCATTTCTGACAGACTGTATATTGTAGAGTATGTTACTTCCTGTTGTTCAAAACCTTCTTGATCTATCTTTTCTACATTGGTTGTATTTTCAAAGCAATGTTGTATACTTGCAGATTGTTCACCTGCAGATTCAAGAACTTGCTGTACACCTGCAGTTTGTTGACCCTGGGGTCTTGTTTCAACACCATGTGGTATACTTGCAGTTCCTAACCCTTGTTGAGAATGAATATGAATTGTCTCCCTTTCTGCATTGCCTATCAATGTTTCATATTGACTATGATATGTCTTTGAATGATGCTCAGTATTTGCAGAATCTAATATAAACATTGTTGCTCCATCTTGGTCTGTTATCGGTACTGGTATGTAGCGCATCATTCCATTTTCTGTGATTTCAGCTAGGACTACCTTGCTTTCTTGCATATCATCACTTCTCAGAATCATAATTTGACGGTTGTCGGTAAGTGTTAGATTTGGTTTGTCTTCAGAATTAGAGACCTCAGAAACGTGAGGTTCTGCTGTAAACACTACTGGTTGTAAAATTTCACCATCTATATCAGCTGGCAACTAGAATAAATAAAAGAAAGATATATGTTACATGATGAAATAACATAAGAAATAACATTTTTGAAATTTAAAGATACACGGAACATGAGTTGTAATGTTTGAAGAGTAGCTTCAATCATTCAGAGAGTGTCAGAATCTTTGAATACAGTACTGTTATAAATTGTATGTACATGTTGTATTCTAATGCAATACCAGTCAACACTAAAATATTCAAAACTAAAGGACAATTGAAATAGCAAGGAAACATTGACTGAGGTTGTGCTGTTGCCAATAATTCAAACAGTAAAACATGGAAATGATGGTAGACATCATCAATCAAAATTGGTGTTGCATACAGGCATTGAAAAGGACATTTTAGAATTTTTATTTAATATTTATGCCAGATAATCATGTAATTTCATATTGTACATCTGTGATATTACTGAAATAATATTATGTAGAAAGTCTTATATCCACTTCAGGGACTCTACCGTTGGTTCACTTTCATTTGTAATGAAATAATATAAGTTTAAATTGTTTTGTTGTTTGAAGATAAAAAACAATAGTTGGTTCAACTTGGTTGGTTTTTTAAATTTATATCAGTAGTGGTTTCAGAACTTAGGAAACACTAAGAAATAAAAAAAATAATTTTAAACATGTTAAAAGTACATTTATCTTTGAATATTTTGGCCTAAAATATGAAGAAAGAGATATATACATGTATATATAGGCAAACAATTTACCTGTTGTATCTCTTTATCAACATTGTTAACAATTCCACATCCACCATTCACGTTACCATCTTTGTTAATGTCAACCACTGCACATCCACCATTCTGGCTGGCATCTTTGTTAATGTCAACCACTCCACATCCGCCATTCACACTACCATCTTCGTTAATGTCAACCACTGCACATCCACCATTCTGGCTGGCATCTTTGAGTATATTTACAATTCCACAGCTATCGTCCTGACTGGCATGTTTGTTTGTAGTATGATCACTCTCCATGACATCTTTACAAGTATCAACAACATTGACGAGTCCTCCACTACCATCTTGGCTACTGACATTTTTAACAGCGCTTACAACATTAATGACTTCTTCTCCACCTTCATGGCTGCCATCATCTTTCTTTTCAGCATTATTACGTACATCATTCAGCATATCTTCAACAATGTTATCGACTAGAAAATCTACAACTTTATCAGGTTTAACTTCTTCTTTGTTTTCGGTCTTAATAGAAAAGTCTGATTGCGTGCCTTTATGATTAATGTATATTTTTTCTGGTCCTTCATTGTCTGCTGATACATGCTTAACTTTCCAACTGGTGTTTTCAGGTTTGATTGGTTCTTTTGGTTTTCGTTTTTTTTCCTTCTTAATTTTGTTAACGCCTGGTGGTGCTACTAAACGAATTGAACTCTCATTCAACATTAAACTATGATCAAAGACTTGAGTGGAATCTTGCTTGGGTGAATGATTTTTATTTTCTTGACCTTTGAACTTGCACTGCTTTTTCATGTGACAGTTGACATTAGCGTACTGACTGAAACCCTTACCACAAAATTTACATTTAAAAGGTTTTTCACCAGTATGGGTAACTTTGTGTTGTGTAAGATGGTTATGACAGCGGAAAGCTCGACCACATTCAAGACATTTGTAAGGTTTAGCTCCAGAATGAATACGGAAATGAATTTGAAAGTCAATTTTACGTGGGAAAATTTTACTGCATTCATTACAAGGGAATTCTTTATATTGGATGGGTTTTCCGTCTTTGCCATGTTTTTCTTTATACAAATGTTCCTGGAAACGAGGTTTTGATTTAAATTTCTGTCCACATACGTCACAAATCCAAAAGTGATTTTCATGAATAGCTCGTTGATGATTTCTTAAATTCCCTGTTGTCTTGAAAGAACTGCTACAAATATGGCATAAATATGGTCGTTCATTTGTATGGACACGTAAATGTTTATCCAATTCAGACTTACACCAGAATAGCTTTCCACAATATTCGCATGAAACATTTTTCTGATATGTCTCGTCATGTTTAGTTTTCATGTGATAACTTAATGTATTTTCCGTTTTCAGAGTCTGATGACAGATTTTGCACTTCAATGGTGGATGAATGTCGTGAACATACTGATGAGCTTTCAACTTATGGCCATTTGCAAAAGTTTTTCCACAAATTTTACAGCCATATTTGAGTGAACCATCTTCAAATGCAAAAATATTATGAGTCTTGTTGAGATGTTCTTTCAACTCATCAACTGAGGATAAATTTTCTTCACAATGAATGCAATATGTTTTATGAGTAAATCTCATATGCTGAGTCAAGCCAGATTGATTTTTGTAACCTTTCTGACAGAGTTTACATTTTACAGATTTTGTTGAATCAAGAGACCTTTCATCCAGATTATCATTTTGTGTTTTAATTTCTACCTCTGATTTTATCTTGACGTCCTTCATAATTGCTCTTGTAGTATAATTATTAGCTTTCTTTACTGGTTTCTTTTCTATCTTCTTGTATTTCAGAGACCCTTGTATAGATTTTAACTCCTTTTTACGATTCTGAGATGTCTCTCTATGTTGAGTTTTCATGTGATAATGAAATTTGTGTTCGGTTTTCAGATTCAGATGGCAAATTTTACATGTCGTGTCATATTTTATCTTTACATCACCTTTATTTGATTTTGTAGTAGTATCACAATTGGCTTTCTTTTCTATCATGTCTATGTTAGAAACTGTTTTCTTTTCTTTCTTCTTGTCTTTCAGATATACTTGTAAAGATTTTAAATTCTTATTACGGTTCTTCAAGTTTTTCTTCTCCTTGATTGTTTTTGTGTGTCCCTGTAGGACTGGTTTCAGTCTCAACCTTTGACTTTTCCTGGTATCAGTATCTGTTTCCTTGGTTTCATTCTTTCTTGATGTTTCCCCATCTGTTGTCTTTCCCATTTTCTTAATTGATCTTATGACAGCTGTCTAAAATGAAAAATAAAAAAGAGAGAGATTTATTCATTGTAATTGTTTTACAAATAATTTTATAAGGGTGTTTGAAGGCACTTTTTAATTTATCATGCTATGCATATACATGTACTGTAAATTCAGAAATTATTGCGTGCATTTATTATTGCGATTTTCAAAAATGGACAAAAATGTGAGTTTAATTATTACGATTTTGAAAAAAATATGCACACAGATCTGTCTTTCAGTTATCAATATGCCAGTTCTTATTTTTGTGATACTCATCCAGTCGCACTATTCCCATCAATAAAAACCTAGCAATAATTTCTGAATTTACAGTAATTCAGATAATCATGGTTACTGTTCATGCTGTTCAGGCTATCTTTCAATTTAAAAATAATCACCACCAATAATTTTCATACAACACCCCATACCCCCCTGGCCCCAGTGGCGGATCCAGGGGGGGGTTCTGGAGTTTGGAACCCCCCCTTTTTTTTGGACGATCAATGCATTTGAATGGGGACATATAGTTGGAACTCCCCCCTTTATCCTGGGTTAGGAACCCCCCCCCCCTTTTATAAATGGCGGGATCTGCCCCTGCCTTTATAAACGTAATTTAATTGATGGATTTTTGGTGTTAAATGTCACTTCCAGCACTCATGGCTATATATATATAAGGGTCCTACATTTCTTATTTCTTTAATTTTTGAGACCATTTTTCTCTAACCTATAAGTATTTATTTTGCCCAATTATTCTCTATTCTTTACTCATTTTGCCCATTATTCCTTTATTCTTTATATTTCAGCACCCAATATTATTAAGCATGTTAAATATAGGTAAATGCATACATCATCAGATTTATTTTTTCATATTTTATTGTGTTTCACAGCTATCCTCAAGGTCTTCTGAGGTACACTGTGCAATAAATTGGTCCAACTCCAAGCTTAATATTTCAACAGGTTTGAACCATATACTTGAATACAGAACATGAAGGTTTGAACAATACACTTAAATAGATTAAGATATATAACCTGTTTAAGATATAATACACCTGTACAGGATTTTTCAAAAATTTTGTAATCAATACACACCAAAGAACAATGTGTCAATAGTTCAAGTGTCACAAAATCTCGGCTCACAGGGGTAGATTCAGGCGGGGCGCACCCTAAAATTTGCAAAGCTGTCCTCAGCTTAATAAAAATTTTTTCGATAATTTAACCTCAAAAAAATTAAGTTTGCACCACCCCCCCCCCCCCCCCCCCCCCCCCTTTCCCAACTTAAAATCCTGGATGTGCCCCTGGTTCAAGTGTTGCATATTCCAAAAGCTACTGATCGATAAGGTTTTTCTTGTAAAATTATATTTTTATTGAATATTTTGTTAGATTTTAGTGGACACAAGTGGCCTTCACATGTCATTTAGGTGGGAAAAGATGTAACCCTTCTATCTACCACCATATAATTGGCAAACTCCATATTGGAAATTTGTGACCAGGACACATATATTTAAAATTTGAATGTCACATGAGAAAATTTCTGAGGCTTAAATGCCAAAATTAATAGGCCTTCTATCTGTAACTCAATGATTATAAACAGACAAAGGAGTACATGTATGTCGCGAAGCGTCAATATTGGCCCTATTCAGTAATTCAGTGATAATAGTACACATCTGATGCCAACATATTTAAAAATATCTGACAAATACAAAATCAACAAACATTTAAACCCACTGCATTTGTTCGCACCTGTCCTAAAGTCAGGAACCTGCTGTTCATTAGTTGTCGTTTGTTGATGTGGTTCACAAGTGTATTTCATTTTTTATATAGATTAGACCATTGGTTTTCCTGTTTGAATTGTTTTACACTGGTCATTTTCTGGCCCTTTATAGCTTGCTGTTGGGTGCGAGCCAAGGCTCCGTGTTGAAGACCGTACTTTGACCTACATGTATAATTGTTTACTTTTTACACATTGCGACTTGGATGGAGAGTTGTCTCATTGGCACTCATACCACATCTTCTTATTTCTAAGTTCTGATGCATTGAAGCACTAATGATGCCAATATGTCCCGACATCTTCCGTTTCAACATATTCAACATGTTTAAGGTGCACCATTTGTGCACCACCAATGCAACTACAAATGAACTATGAAAATAATGTTTTGTTGACCTCTTTTTTTGCTACAAAATGCAAATCAAAACCTAATCCATGATCCCGGGTCAATGGACAAAGGTAATGTTATGTTTATGAGCTAGACCATGCTGCGCATACTTATCTTTTTTAATTTAGCTATAGGTTATCGATCATGTACATGAATTTGCGGTTTTATTTAATTCCTGATTCTGATTGAACATTTATGTTTTGACTTGATTATCTTTTTAACATGCTGATCATTGGTTTTGTTATACTTAAATAATACTTCTTAATAAGTTACACATGTTACATGTATAAAAATAATTCTATATGTTTTATTAAATTGAATTTTTCCAATGTAATTTTTACCTGTCCATGGGCAACCCAGACAAAAAAAATTACTTGTCCTGGTGTTCAAATGTAGGAGTTGGGCCAGTTGGGCATAGCATTTCCACATCCCTGTGATATTGAAAATGATTTGTTGTATTTCAGTTGTTGTCATAATTTGTAAAATGTAAAAATAATTAATTGCCCTGTTTACTTTAGTTTCAATTTTCCAAAAAAATAAAATAGATAATAATTTATACGGACTTCTCACAGGTAACTCCTGTCTCATTTTAGGTTTTTGAACATATGGTATAATTTACAAAGTAAAATTTTATTTTTAGGGCCAAATAAGACCCAGGGCCTTGGGCTTGGCCTTGTCATATGATTGTGGTCATACTCCTTTCAGAGCTGTGTCGGCTTCTTTTCTCTGCATATCAGTTCAGGACTATTTTCATATATACAATTTATGTGATAATGACAGCATAATTCACCTCTAAAACTGTAAAATAACAAAGAAGTGTAGTACAAATTCAACTGATCAATGAAATCTTCGCCAGGGGAATATAAGAAAGGGGGAAGGAAACCAATGATACTATGCTTGGAAGATTTCGTTCGAACCTCTCTGGGTTTGACTATAATTTATGAGAAAATATCAGAGCTGTTCGAAAAATAATTTGTGTCATGCTATTGGTTTAAAAGTTTTGACGGAAGTATGACAATAAGTTATAACATGAATATTTATATATTTGAACTCTGTTTTTCTATCACTAAAAGGTCAATACACAGTTTTGTTTATCTAGGCGGCGTATTAATCCCAACCACGCGCCACCGTCGTTCCTCCATTATACTGTTGTAGATAGTATAACCATTATCGACAGTGTTTTTTTTTTATTAATTAATTTGTTTTTTCTGCTTTTTGCTTCTTATTTTTTTTGTGTGATCGAATTAATAGAAGATAGTTTGTCGTTAATCTGCAATACTTCATGTACACCTTATGCTTGGTCCGCGGTGTATTCGACTGACTGTTTCATTAATTTTACCAAGGATTTGATTTCACTATACAAATCCTGGATTTTACCATAGATGTGTGTGTTTTTTATACAGCTATGATTTTACGTACGGTTGTTTTTTTCTCTCTTGTTACACTAGTCCGAAAACGTGCGCATTATCCTTTTTTTTCAAAGGTTTTTTTTGGGGGGGGGGGTGCATTTGATAGTAAAAACGGTATATAGAAAATAAAATATAAGAAATAGTAAAATAAGCAATGAAAATATCAGAAAACAGAAATAGAAAGTATTGACTCCGAGGTCATAAAATGATTGGGCTATGATATTATAATTCATGCAATTTAAATTTTATGACTCCCTTTCTATTTCTTTTTAATAATCGCTGTAGCCGTAACCTTTGATATTGGTATTGTGTTTGAAGTTTAACACACGGTTTTCATTACCTTTATGGTTTATTCCTTTTCAAAGAATTTGTCAGTTTAACTGATTGTATTTTTTCTCATTATGAATTTAAAAATTTGAACTCTCGGTAGGATATGCAGATATACGAATGAATATATTTTGTATAAATTCATGATTTCCCTTAATACGTTATTTCATGATCATATCTTACTTTTTTAATACACGGGTTGGCAAGCGATCCGATAGGTATTTATTTTTCTTTCATTGGATAAATAATCCTACTTATTTGTATTGATGACGAAAAGGGATGTTACCACAGATGTAGGCCAGCCCTACATGCATTTGCTCCAGTTCCAATGTGTGTTTTCAAAATACCCTTGAAGAGTAATATATATGCATTGCTTTACATCATATTTTACCCTTTTTTCATCTTCAAAATGTTTCATATACCATTTCCGTTGCTGATCCAGGATTTAAAAAAAAAAGGGGGAACCACTAAAAAACATCAGGAGTGGGGCATACAGTCTATATGCAATAGACATGTAGTCCCATAAGGGTGGGCGGGTCCACTTGTCTACCCATCCCCTCACCTCAATCCAATTATGTATGGATTAAGGGAGAGGGCGTAGAATGCGTACGCCCCCTTTAATTGGATAATATATCATTGTTTAGCATTAAATCGTACAAGCAATTCTGGACCGCCCCAAATCTTTACAAATTCTTTTGATTCTTGTTTTGAAAACACACTATCAGAATCGGAAACGAAAATAAAATATGAAAGCCAGCAACCAACGACAATCACCGAAATACAGCAGCACCTGTGTTGAAGACCCAGTGGCGGATCCAGAACTTTTCATAAGGGGGGCCCGCTGACTGACCTAAGGGGGGGCCCGCTCCAGTCATGCTTCAGTGATTCCCTATATAATCAACCAAATTTTTCCCACGAAAGGGGGGGCCTGGATCCGCCTATGAGACCCATTGGTGTGGGTCTCATTGGGGTCTAAGCGTGACGCGGGATTGCCGATTTTTTATAAGCGTGAAAGTCAAATTATTGAAATAATAACGGGAAATGAAGTCTAGCGGGATACGGGAAATGAGAATTGCTTACGTACATAGTGTAGGCGGGATACGGGAATCTGTCAAAACAGTAAGCG